GACATAAAAACCATTAATCGTTTCAATATATTTAAAAGATGATGATTATTGATTCCAACAAATCTAAAAAACACTTTTTCACAAATTAGTATTCTTAAAATGAAATATAATGTAATGTAAATTGCATTATTTGCATGTAATTTGCCCGGGTATTTCTGAGGTTTGTCCGATTTCGGCTTTTGCCCGTAACATAAATAAAGTGATTGTAATCAGTATCCAATAAGTATTTAAATATTTTGTAACTCTGTCATTAATTTTATTTAAGATGAAAGTCCTCATTATATTTTTGTATCATTGGTAATTAGATTTATTGTAAGAATGTTATAATAAAATCAGCTACATAAAATAGTATTCAAATATTTAAACCTAGTAATACATGGTAAGGTTAGATAAGCTTCAGTCGAAATTCCCGAATCTAATATTCCGGTTAGGTCTTAAAATCTCTGGAGGAATAACTTGTTCATAAGAACTTTATTATTTGGGTCAAGTAAGAACAAATTACTTAAAAGATAACATATTATTAGTAGAGTAATGAGCAAAGTTAATCTTTTGTTAGTGTTTACAGTAGGATCCGTATTTTAATTTATAATATAATGTAGTAAATTTGCCACAGTATTATTTGTTTGTTTGTTTGCATGCATGGTATCAATTTATAATTTCGTTACAATATAAATTTATTGCTTCCTATTCATTCCTAAATTAAGAAACTTCAATAAAAAATAACCATACTTAGATCATCCATAGGATTTCTATTTTCATTTATAACAAATAATACTTAACATTTTTTATTTCAATCTGATAACTTCTGTTTTTAACAAATACTAAAAACGTGTTTCTAAAAAAAATCCAGTATCAAAAAATGTATCAAAATTTATTACACCAAATTTGTTTTAAATTTAAAAATTAAATTCAATTTAATCAATTTTTCAATACCACATTAAATTATTAAAGTTAAAATTTTAGTCGAATAATATAGTTATATTATAATAATTGGATTGCATGCATTTTTCTGGTTATAATTGATAATATACATGGCGGCGGGTACGCGATATTGGGGTTTTTTTCTCTCATATTTTAATCAAAAAATATTTATAACGTTCTAGTATCTGTCTAAAGTTTTACCGAAATTAAAAAAATAAGGGGAAATTATCCTCACAAATTTACTTGTGATAAAGATAAGAAAAGATAAGAATTATATATTCTTCGACATTCGCGAAGAATCGGGATACGTTTTTCAGTCGATAAAATAACCGTTCGATGTGCACCGCCGGAGATGAAAAGAAATTCAATTTTATATGTTATAAAAATATATTATATTGCAGATGCAATGGTATAATATGTATCAAATTTATAACCAATAACGTCTCGAATGGTGGCATCGCATTGGTATGAAAATTAATGCAAAATGACATCCACGGATTGAACAATGAACAAAAATGTCGTATAGTAAAATTTTAACTGTGTACAGTCGCAATTGAGCGTCACACAGCATAGTGATCGAACGTGAGTAATATGATAATTAAAAATTTGACTGAAATAAACACGTCGTAATAATAATAATCAGAGACGGCTTTTAAAGAACTTGTACCGGGAAAGTGCCCAGGAAAAAATATTTTTTATATAAATTTTAGTTAAATAAATTAAAATTTAATAGGCAACCAAGTACATTTATGAATATATTTATCGATACATAATTGAAATGTTAACGTTAGAGTAGTTATAATGTAAATTGAGTTAAGACAGAACAATTTTTTCGGAGTAGACGCGTGGTTTAAATTATTCTGCTCAGGGATTATGTAAATTTACAAACTGCCTCTGATAATAATAATAATGGTAATAATAATATTACGTCGGTATGACAATAATAATTCTAAAAATATTACTATGAAATTATCACGACTACTTGAAAATAACTCTATTTTTATAATTCCATAAAAGTGTGTCGTCGTGCCCGCAATGTACCCGGATAGAAAACCGTGGATGGATTAATTGAAATGCTATGCGGGAGACGTTACACCATTGTTTCAAAAGTTATGACGCCGCCGTTTCAATTATTAATTTCGTATAAAGGTTCATAAACTATAGTTGAATGCAAGTATACATGAACGAACTTTATGAAATATACAAAATTCGTATATTGATATTCAAAAGGGAATCATTTTTATCTCTGCAATATTATTTATGACGGCGTAGTATATAGTCAATCTCGCTACACACGTGTGCGCGGGAACGATTTAAAATCGGACATTTTTTTTCTCTCTCGCTATTTTCACATTATTTTTGTTTGATAATTTGTAGTTCGTGCTACAAAAATAATTGCGTTTCAAAACCAATCAATAAATAATCAATATTCTATACACTCTTTTCTTGCTGCTTATGACTTAAAATTCATTTAAATATAGCAAAATGTAATTTATATTCTACAAACGTATGGTCAGTATTCTTCTGGGATTTAAAAATGAAACTTATTTCAACTAAAAAAAAAAAATCTCTTTTTGGAATTCTTTTATTTTAAAACTTTTGATTAAAAAATAAAGATTTTCTACACTACACATATTTCGATTTATAATTATTTTATTTAACCAAATACGAGTAATAATACAATTTTCCGTAAAATAGTGGTTTAAAAATCATAGATAATTATTATTAACACAACTATTGCACTCTTGCGTATCCGATCATTGCTACGGGTTACATAAAACTAAATTTAACTAAATGCCTAAGTATATTGATTTATATTTATCATACACGTTATTAATATTATAGGTATTAACGAAAACGTGTAGAATTTAAATATTATGAATTCAATCGTATTTTCTACTTTAAGAAAACTGTCTACACAGAATAACGTTATGACAAATGCAAAATTTAGGATAGTAATAAATTAATTATCATATTTGCGAAAATATTATTACTAGTTTCTTTTTCTAATTTTTTACAGTCTGTAACAATTTATTTTAAATATTTTGAATTATTAATATTTATTTTTTATATTATATGATAGGCTAAAGTTAAAAGTTACCCAATGGTTAAATCAAACATCGAGATATTTATTTTTTTTCCAATCACTATAAACATGTTTACATTTGGTTTCATTATTGATTAAATATTTTTAAGGTATCTACACCACCAATGTCACTTCAGATGCTTCAAAGAGGTCCTTGACTATATTTTCAGAGACTAGCTTCAGAGACTATCTATATATTTGGGAGAATGATAAGTTTAGAATTTAGAAGTTTATAGTGTGCAACTACGACACTGTATATACGTAAAATATTGAGATATTTGTAAAGAGAATAATTAAATACGTAGAATAGAGCTTTTGTGATTTGGTAGAGGGTTTTGGATCGAAATGTCTGCAGTTTGTTTATATTGGATGGCTACGCTGAGTTCCAGCGTAAACATTATGATTTTTAATTATACGATATAATATATAATTATATCGTAAACCATTCATAATTTTCCAACTTGACACATTTGACATCTGGGATGGTGTACTGTTGTTTTCTTCAAACGTTTATTCTTTGAATTTAATTCAATTATACTCCAATCGTCTATTAATACGATGTTTAAAAATAATGAAAAGTAGCGATTATTATTGTAGTTTGCGTCATTAGATTTATTTTAGTATATCTCTGTATAATAATTTCTTAATAAATACACTGATTTTATTGTACACATGAAAATAGTTACTTCAAATCCACAGATTTTAAATTAAAGTTTGATTTATTATTTCTTATATCAACAACCAGAGTCAATTTGATCGAAAAACAAATTCTTTGTCAGATAGAGGCAAGTAGTTATTACGAACTGCATAATATTTTAATTACACTGCAGCTATTAAATATAACGTAATAACACTCGACAACTGACGATGAAAATGAACATACTAAATAGAAGTATTTCACAGAATTTAGTCAGTCTGACAAAAGTAATATAACATACTCAGTTTAAATTTGTGCTGATGTTTAACAGTAACTGTAGAACTATATTTTACTCGTGTATAAGTACAGTTGTAGATATACCATGCTTTTGTTGTATATTTAATTAATAATGAGCTATCTTTAGTTTTAAATTCCAAGATGAAAAATTCATTTATTTATTTGGATCCTTACGATTTTATAGCTATTGATTCCAGGAATCTCAGGTAAAAAATAATTAAAAATTACAAGAAATCGTCGATATTCTCGAGAAAAAAATATATTACAATTATATTATGGTTCTTGATAATTTAATGCTAATCGAACTGCTTAAAGGAATCATTATGAATATTATTATAACTGTGAATGACATTTTGTAGATTTTGAAATAAAAATATTTATTGATAAATGTAAAATTTAATTTCTTATTTATTTCGTTCTAAATAACTACCACCCGACACATTAATAAAAGTTCGCGAGTACCAATTAAAAAGTAATTACTCCGCTAAAATATTTCACAATGACGAGCAATAATTATAAATTGCAGTATACTCTCTATGCATTCACCATGTATAATGGATTACAGTTAAAACACTCGTTAGAAACACAATTGTACACACTGCATACGCTACTTTTTCGGAAGAGGGCTTAAAAATCATTATAACAAACAAGATCAAAGTAAAAACATTTCGAGTCGTTGAATGAAAACAATACCCATTTCAATGTCTTATTAAAATAACTCGTTAATGTAGGCTTATGTGAAAAACACGTTCCACATAATTAATAAATTCATCGTTAGGTACGATGACAAAGCTCCTAAACATTTTGATGAGACATTCATATTATGAGAAAATGCAGATTTATAGAAGTAATGATTGTGATTTTTAAACGGGACGTAAAATACTAAGAGTGACGAAATAATCGCACCAAAATAACCGTTGGCTGCGTAGATACGTTGAACGATGTAAGAAAAGAGGAATTGGGTTTTGTAGAACCGGAAATTATTTTTGATTAACACTGAAATCGTTAATTTTTTTATTTAAGTTATTAAAATGAACGCGTTAAAATAACGTGACTTACCGGAAGAGTTCTATCATTTATGTCCGAAAACGAGTCCACTAGATGGACATGAACTTCGGCCACTACCCTATCCATAGGAAGTGTATAATACCCTAAGGTCTTGTCGCACTGGTGGCGTTGATGGCTCAATAGATGCACAATGAGCACATCGTCGTTCTCTAACCGCTTCGATAGAGGCCATTCAAAGCTCTGGAAAAACATAAACGTATAATGTTTTAGTAGGTATGTTTGCAACATTCTAAGTATAACTGTATTACGATATATTATTAATGTTAGGCGTAACGTCGCTATCTCGAATAAAATGTAATCTTAAAAACCGTTGAAATTCCATCGTACTTCATTTTCATTTTTCAACTCTTTTATAGAACAAAGTTTTGTAATTGGTTACACTATCGGTACCTCGATTCATAGGCGTAAATGGGGGGGGGCAAGGGGGGAAATTGACCCCAAGAATAAATAAGGAGGGACAGTGCTCCCTCTGATATTTAACATACCTTGTTTTATAGATGATTATAGCTATTAATATAATATTTATTTTTTATAAATCTTAATTTTAAATTTTCGCTTATCTAACATACGAGTAATGTTAGAAAATGAATAATTTTATATAATAATGTGTAATTAGTAAAGCAGCGTTTAGCCTTGGACAACCTTTTCGTTAGATATGTAATTATATTTTTACCCCCCTAATAAATTTCCAAGTTACGCCTATGCCTCGTCTATCAAATTCTCATCAATGTTCTTTGTGGGTTTGACATTTAAAATACTGAGAATTTACGACTATGCATCATATGGCCGAGTGCAATCGATGGTGAGCGCTATCGGTCGGTGCGATTGTTGTTGACGTGTACTAAATGTAATATACACAGAGCAATAATATATGCCTACCTATTGCAGCTACTTGATTAAAAATAATCAATTATTTTTAATTATATTCACTACGCATTGACAAATGTTGACATTCACAATTTAATTTTGAATGGGTATTAAAAATGTATCTATGTTTAGAAGCAATTTTTTCTTCTTATGACTGTCACCATTATATCTGTTATGTTATTAAGAATAATTATTAAATAATAATCATTACATATTAATATAAATTATAAATTGACGGAAGTCGTTCATCTTCTCTTAAAACGTATGTAGAATATTATTCTTTCACTTGCGTAAAAAAAAACTAAGCCCAGATACTCATGTCATAAACAAATTCAAATCCTAACTAATCTTAACTAAAATATTGAAAATTTTTTCTAGAAATAAACCACAGAAACATAGCATAACACTAGCTCACTTCCAAGTTAAAAAAAATCTAAATAAGATAAATATTGTATTCATTTTAAGTCTAAGTTATACCATATGAAAATCATACACTAAAACTAATCAGGAGCTTAAATCTGACAAGAATCTATGAACTCCTAAAAAATTACTTGAATCCTATCTAGATAGGAAAAGTTAAGTTATAAGGTAATTTTTTTTAAATAACATTTACTTTAATTTGTATATATTTTTTTTTATTATTATTAATGTATTTAGATAACCAGTAAATATTTACATTTTTTCTATTACTCATGTTTTTTTACTAAAATTCATATTTTACAAGTCATACTCATTAGTTTATGTTGAATGTATCAATATTCACTTCACTGCAAATATTTAGGACAAGATAAGCATGTTTCATAAACGCTATACTCAAAAGCATTTTAATTATAATTATGAGTACTTATTATTTTAGTTTTTTTTTTTTTTTATTTAATTCTAAAATAATGTTAATAACAAAAGTATCACAAAGATGTACCGCCACTCATTTTCCAAAAACCACGCATACAGAGTGTGTCAAATGACTCATCGACCATTTCCCCAGAGACTATCTCCAAAGACGTTTGGATCACTAAAAAACGTCAATTCTCACCCAATATTTCACAAAAAATGACCAAACAATTCACAACGCCAAATCGCTTTTCTCACATCAGCCCATCAAACCTTGATGATCAAAACAACGGTTCTTCGAAAATCGATGTTGACGATCCTAATGGCAATACTCACTATTCTGCAGAGTGTAAGCCCCCCCCCCCCCCACCTATCTTCATTAACATAACAGAAGATTTCAAAACTTTCTGCTCTAAGATTCAATCCGTAACTAAAAGAGAAATGTTTTCTTGTAAAGGCTCCAATAATAGTGTTAAACTTTTAACTAGTACACCTAACTCATACAGAGAAGTAATGCAATTTTTAAAATCCACCAATGCTGACTATCATACATCTCAGTTAAAACAAGATCGAGCATATAGAGTCGTGATTAGAAATTTACATCATACAATTCCTCCTGAAGATATAATAAAAAATCTTCTGGATCACGGTCACATAGCTAGAAATGTTACAAATGTCTTACAATATAACACTAAGGCTCCGTTTCCTTTATTCTTCGTAGACCTTGAACCGGCCATTAATAACAAAGATATTTTTAAAATCGAATTCCTATGTTATACAAAAATTAAAATAGAAGGACTCCGTATCAAACGTCAAATTGTTCAATGCCTTCGATGCCAAAAATATGGTCATACAAAAGCCTATTGCAATCATACATCAAAATGTGTACGCTGCGGCGATCATCACCAATCAGACTTATGTCAAAAACCCACTGACCAGCCCACCAAATGTGCTCTTTGTCAGGACAATCACCCTGCAAACTATCGAGGATGATCCAAACATAAAGAAATCTAATCTTCTCATAAGCTCAAGAAAATTCAAATTACTTCGCATCTTATCAAAAAACTATAAATAATATACAGTAAACACCACTTCAAATACGTTTTCTCAGCCCAAATCATATGTTCAAGCAACTAATGATTCTTTTTTACCTTCCCCCACCTCTAGCAATGATAACTCCGATCAATTATCTTTTAAATTATCTTCTTTCCTAGACGATTTTAAATTCCTAATTAATCCCTTAATCTCCTTACTATCCACTGTCATCACTAAACTCTTATCCTAATCAAATGTCAACTAACTTAAATATAAAACATTCATTATCCATCCTTTTATGGGATACCAATGTACTTTATCAACAAAAAAATGAACTTAAAGCTTTCTTACAAATCACCGATATTGATATTATCCTAATCAACGAAGCTCATTTAACATTAAACTCCTTGTTCAAATTTCCTGGATACCTAATATACCACTGTGATCATCCTAGTGGAACCGCTCATGCAGGCTCGGCGATTATTATAAAATCAAACTTAAAACACTATCTCCTACCTCCATTTCAGAACGATTCTATACTAGCAACTAACATTCAAATAATTTTGAACCACATACCAACTAATATTTTATCTGCTTACTTTCCTCCTCAAGCTAAACTCCAACGTGCTCATGAAGTACTTTCTCTCTCTTGAAAATACTTACTTAATTGATGGTGACTTTAACTGTAAGCACATCTCATGGAGCTCCAGAATCACCAATACCTGAGGTTGAACTCTACATAATCATATACTGAACAAAAATCTTAAATCCCTCTCACCTCCCAATTCTAGCTATTGGCTAACTCATCAAAACAGATAATCCGACATCTTAGACTTCTTTATAACTAACCTACCTAATCACATCAATCAAAATATTTCAAACCTAAGCAATCTGTCATCTGATCACACTCCAGTTTTACTTTTTATAAATGCTCATAGCATAATTAAAACAGCTTATCCATCCCTCACTCCTGGAAATACAAATTGGGAGATCTTTAACAAGACCGTAGAGTCACAAATCTTTCTCAACATCCTACTTCAAAATCATTCCGTTATTGATAATGTAGTAAAATCACTTACAGATATTATCAAAAACTCGCCATTAAATGCCTCTAATAATCATATTATTCATTCCAAGCAATGTAATCTTCCTCAATATATAAGTAAATTAATAATAGAAAAGCACCGCGCTCGAGATATATGGCAACTCACTCACCTCCTAAGCGTTAATCGAACTACAACCACCTATCCTGTAATTTAAAAATCTCTTAAACAAACATAATTCAAAGTCATATCAACATTATACAAAATCACTCACAAATAATAATAAGTCTTTATGGAAAACAACTTAAAACCTGCTTCAAGAAAATAAAACTATATCCTCTTTGCGAAATCCAAATAACTCATTAGCTATATCTAAAGTCAAAAAAGCCAATCTATTTGCAACTCACCTTGCCAATAACTTATGTCTCCACTCAGACATAAATATTGCAGACCACACTGATCATATAACTCAACCATTAGACACTCCCTGGCCTATGGCCTTTCCCACTAAACACACGCCTCCATTAGAAATTCTTTTTATAATAAAAAAACTACATAATAACAAATCTTCCGATCACGATTTAATTACTAACAAAATGATCAAACATCTTCCTAAGAAAGCTATAACCCTCCTCGCTCATATTTTTAATGCTATACTTAGATTATTATATATAACACGCACTTAGAAACATTCCATTATAATATTAAATCAAAAGCCTGGAAAATCCCTTAATTCCCCCTCTTCGTATAAACTAATTAGTCTCCTACCTTTTTTTCAAAAATTCTGGAAAAAATCACACTTAAGAGAATCTATCCTATAATAAACGCAAATAAAATTATTCCCAATATCCAGTTTGGATTCAAAAAAAAAATTCTACACTGCATTAAATTCAAAGATTAAAAGATATAATTTCATCATCTTTAGAAACTAAAAACCATTGTGAAGGCATTTTTCTTGATGTCACTATGAACGTGTTATACAAGGTGTTCGCGTGCATGCTCGTGATGGCCATGTCCACCACGTGCACGATCCCGCTGCTGTACGGCTGGCTGAACACCAACTTCCGGCGGGACATATCCGGTATATGCCGGTAGATGTTGTACTGCGTCAACCAGAAGCCGCCACCCAGGCGACGGTGGTACCCATCCGTGGGTATCACGTTTACATTGATCGTGTGTGGACTGAGGGACTCCTCTATAAATTACGCTTTCTTCCAGCTCTTTTATTTCTCACGCTAAAATCCTTCTTATCTAAATGCACATTTGCCGTTGAAAAAATTTAAAATATTGATAAATAACATATATATATACATATATATATATTCATTAAATATTATCTATATTTATACATTTTATTTGCAAGTTTCATGGGAAATGTTGATATAACTATTCAATTTGTAGGTC